GAGAGTGGTGCTTGTAATGGTCCATGTTTGAGAGGACAATAGCTTTATAGACAAGTATCTTGGTCTCCCTACAAATGTCCTGATCCTCAAATGCGCTCTGCTTCATTCGGAAAAATGCTGCACTTGCAGAGCTGAAATGGTATTGTATTTCAGCGTTGGTGTTGACTTTTGTGAAGCGGTGGCTGCCAAGGGAGCGGAAATGGTCAACATTTTCTAATATTACACCATTAAGCTGTATTTCCAGCATTGCAGAGGGATTGGCTGGTGCCTTTTGCTAAAAAAGCATTTGGTTTTCTCAATGTTCAGTGAGAGGCCTTCCCTCCCCATAAATCTCACTGGATCTTAACATTGGGAGGTGGTGGTCCGTCTTTCAGGCTCCTCCTCTTCACAAGTACAGTACAGCCCTCATGTCCATGGGACCGGTTTCCATGGGTTCGTTTATCCATGCTGGATACAATACCCCTCTTGACTTAAGTCTCATGAGTCATCAAATCTAAACCACACCTCAATTTTCAATGTCATGTTCCACAGCAAAAAGTGCCCTCTTTGTCATTTGGCCCCAAAAGCTGCACATTGCAGTGACTGCCTGCTTAGCACTTCTTCTTTCAAAACAAAAGTGTTAGAACATCAAAGCTTCCAACAGCGGAAAATAAAACCTTGGCTGCATCCAGGCTAGGAATGGGCAAACTTGGGCCCTCCAGGTGTTTTGGACCTTATCTCCCACAATTCCTAACAGCCTCAGGCCCTTTCCTTTTAATTTTCCTTTTCCATTTCCACTTAAATAGCTATAGGGGGAAAGTAAGGGGCCTGAGGCTGCTAGGAATTGTGGGAGTTGAAGTCCAAAACACCCGGGGGGGCCAAGTTTGCCCATGCCTGATCTATGCTGTGGAATTAATCTACTTTAAATGCCTTGGTTCAATGCTATTGGGTCCTAGGAGATGTAATTTTGCAAGGTCTGGACCCTTCTCTGCTGAAGAATGCTGGTGCTTCACCAAACTACTAATTCCAGGATCGTATAGCATTGAGTCAATGCAATTAAATGAGATGTGAGGTCCCTCAAAGAGGAGCTCCTGAAACAGCTTTTGCTTTGGCTCAGCAGTAAGATGACAGTATGATGCAAACCTAATGTGCGCCCCAATTTTGGCCAGGTCATTTAGCCCCAAAAGGTGAGCATTAGATTCGAGTAAATATGGTTCTATGGCAGTATTGGGCCACAAGCCCTTAATTTCAAGGGGGTTTGCTATTACTCAGGATTTCAGGCACTGTCCCCCCTGCAGATATGAAAATCATGATGTATGAGGATGGGTCAAAGAGTAAAGCCTCCATTGCTCTAATTTTTATTTCTTTCACAGCTGCTGGACTATCAATGCATGCTATAATAGAAGTAATCTTACTTGACTGATACAGTCTTTCCTTTTTCCAATTGACTGATTAGAACCATAAAACTGAAGTTAAAAGAAAGAGTCATCATTGAATTTCTGGCAAAAGAAGGTTTTGCATCTCAGGAAATCCATCATCGCTTGAAGAATGTTTATGGGAACGGTGTAATGGACATCAGCAATGTGTGGCGTTGAGTGAAGAAGTTTGAAAGTTTCAGATTCAGTAACTTGAATGGCGTTCAAACAGCTATAAAATCATGGATCATGAAGCAACCCCCCCCCCCCAAAATGGTTTTGATGCCTAGGTTAAACAATGTTGCAAATGTGTCCAAATTGATGGTGATTATGTTGAATGGTATAGTTTTGCGTAGAGGACAGTTCAGGTTATGATCTGGAGCAACTTATGCTGCTATAGGTTCATTCATAACGTTTTTATGACACAGGAGGCAAAACTTTTTGACCCATCTGTGAATATTTTTGGGAACACAAGACACAGCCGTTGCTTGGAACTCCTTGGTTTCAGACAAAAAAAGGGGAAAAACTTGTAAAGGGTTAGAGTGGGAAGGGACTCCACAGGGTCATCTAGTCCAACCCATTCCACCACAATCAAAGCCTTCCCACCTCATTACAAATCTCCAGAGGAGACTTAGCCCCTATCTGCACTGCCATATAATGCATTAAGACCTAATGTTGTGAAAACAGGAGTGTACAGATTATGATGATGATGCACCATTGGAAGCAATGGATGGATGCTGCTCACTGATATTGGGCCTGCAAAGGTCCATTAGCAACAGGCAATGCACTTTCTTGCTCAAAAACCCAGGAAACATATCAGAAGTGAATTAGTTGAAATTTGACTTCAACCTGAGTAAAATTGCCAACTTTTTAATCTGGCGGAGCTCTTGTGGTTTTTTCCCCTCCAAAAATCCAGCTGCCGATGCCAACAAATGCATTCAATGCAGCACAGTTTATCATCCTCATTGGCGGCTGTCCTCCTTGATACGTGGCTGAGAAATGCACTGGAGCCTTGCCATCAAAAATGTTGGCAACAAGCTTAAACCGAAGCTTCCCAAAGGCATCCATGACTGGACAGGGATCATGTTATCATTGATGTTGTTGACAACGTATGCAAGTTTCAAGTTGCTTCTGACCAATGCCTATCCTAAGGTGACCCTATCACTGTGTTTTAGAATCATCAAATTGGAAGAGACTTTGTGGGCCTTCCAGACCAACCCATCCATTCATAACTCCCTTGCCTTTTAATATCAGAGTCCACAGAATGCCGCTCAGTATTTCCTTCATTTTTCAGAACTCAGCTCTCCAAAAATCCAGAATGTGGGTTTGACTTGTGTTAATTTCAGCCTTCTTTCGTATCACAAACTACAGGAGCACATAGTCACTTGCCCCTAAGGATTTGACTGCATTGATCTGGTCCTCCAGGTTGGTTAAGATGAGATCGAGAGTAGACAACCCCCTTGTAGCCTCTTCTACCTTATGGAACATAAAATTGTCTGCAAGGCAAGTGAGGAATTTGTTGGACTTTGTACTCTTGGCTGAGTTTGTTTACCAACAAATGTCGAGATACTTGAAATCGCCCATGACTACTATATCTTTCTTCTTTGTACCTGTTTGGTCAACTGTTGACAGAAGGCTTCATCGAGTTCTTCATCCTGGCTTGGAGGTTTGAAGCATGTGTGAATGTTGCAATTAGCAGGCTTGGATAGCATTGAGTAGCCATGAAGCTGCAAAGTCAATCAGTAAGGGTATCTGTATAGAGCTAGTATGGTTACTGTTGCCTGGAGGCATCCTTTGTTTGGGAGGTGTTAACTGGCACTTATTGTTTGTTCTCTGGAGTTACCCAGAGAAGGACAGTGATATGTTGCATGTTCCAGAGTAGGCAAACCAGACAATCTCCACATCCACACTGACAAAGAAACAGCAAGAAATACTGTTTACCCACAAGCATAAAGACATTACATATATTAGAAACCAACACTTTCTAATTACTTTATTTTCCAGATCACCAGGCTCAGCCACAGCAACGCGTGGCAGGGGACAGCTAGCATCTATCTATCTATGTGCTGTCACGCGCTGGGCCTATAGCAATTGGCTTTTGAACATGACGTGCTCTTTGTGCCCAGCGGGAAGCTGGGGTGCCTCAGCTGAGAGGCCCTAAGGATTTTCCTATACAAAGTCTTTAGAAGCTTGAAAAGTTTAACAAAGTCCTTTATTATTGTTTAGGTCTTCAACAAAACAATCAAATATTTCTCAGATCTTCAACAGGTCAAACAAATACTTCAAGGCTTTGAAACAACTGATGGCTTTCTTACTATTGACCACAAGGGACAGGCAACTGGCTTCATGAACTGTTTCTTTTCTTTAAGAGGAAAACCCTTTTTAACCCCTCCTTGGGCAATCTACTTTCTAAACTTTGCTGGTGTGGGCCCTACTCCCGGCTCCAAACTGCTTCTTGGGTCCCAAGTAGACCTACCAGCCAAGGCTTTGTAGATTCTCCAGGTGGAGTCCTTTGGATTTTCTCCACGAATGTTGTGGGTTTGTTTCTTTAACCCCAACAAGGGTTGCACTGTGAAACTATTTCTTTTAAAGGCTTTTCCTTAAAGCTGTGAGGCTGTAAATTCCCCACCCAGAGCTTTGGAATTGTTTTCTCCTGGAATTTTGTAAGAAACAAAGCTTCTCTACAGGTGGAGCTGATTCATGTCCTGTAGCTAAGCTTTCAACTGTAAGACTGAGCTAAAATGGCTCCCTTTCCTTCCTGAACCCTGGGAAAAGGGGCGGAACTAAAAAACCCAACGATGATAGGCAGGTGGCTGCAAACCAAGGGAAGCCACCTTATTGCAAAATGCATGGAACTTTGGAATACATGCAAACACTCAAAAAAAGAAAAGGAAGTTGGAGCTCTTGGTACAGCCGTACCAGCACAATCTATGTAAAACCTACAACAACCTATCTATGTAATGTTTGTTTGTGGGATTAACATAACTCAAAAACCACTGGAGGAATTGACACCAAATTTGGACACAATACACATAGCAGGCCAACAAGTGACCATCACTCATAAAAACACTAAAAACACATACTTAAAAAGCCAAAAATTAAAAAATATATTACAACATATGCACAAAACCACATATATATACGCAAACACACATGTACACAAATATATACATGCGTATATGCACACACAAAATACATATACACAGATTGGACCACAGCAACGCATGGCAGGGGATGGCTAGTATATATATATATATATCTCAACTTGCAGCAAACACAACTGCCAAAGGGACACAGCGTGGCCATTGAATGTCACTCTAGCCTGTCCCCTCCACTTGGAAGGAGTGCCTTTAAGTTGCCCCTTGGCACTGTTCGATGCCCATCTAAGCCGGTTGGGACTCCATGGCGGCGGCGGCGGCAGCAGCAGCAGCAGCAGCAGCCTCGGACTCGGAGGCCACCCAGAAGAGGCAGAGCTGCTGGGCTTTTTCCCAACCGGGCTGCTCCTCTTTTGCTCCTGCGCCAGGAGCCCCTCCTCTTTCCCAGCTGTTTGGCCCCGCCTTTTTCCCCGCGGAGCTGCTCCCATTGGCCAGCCGCTGTGTCGCTCATGGCCTGCCTCCCTCCTCCCTTTGCTTGCTAGTTGCTGTTGCTGGTGCTGTTCTTCTTTGCCTCCTGAGCCTCCGAAAGGAAGGAAGGAAGGAAGAGGAAGGAAGGAGGGAAGAAAGGAAGGAGAGGAAGGAAGGAAGGAGAGGAAAGGAGGTCTTTCCTGCTGCAGGTCTATGGAGAGGAGCTCGTTGCTGCAGCTCATCCAGGAGCAGGTAAGCATTGCAATGAGCATCACCCCTTTGGCATCTCTCTTGACACGTGTCAGTGTATTTTGCACGTGTGCATGCATTGCATAGGGAGTCTCACACAGGAAAAGCTTCTCCCAGCCTTGGCCAATGCTCAGCCACCTTGGCAAGGCATGGATGGGGAGCAGAAGCAGATGGTGATGGATTAGACAGCAATGAAAGACCTGGGTGGAGATATAGATCATATATATACATATGTGTGTGTTGATTGAGGGATATATGTGTGTGTGTGTGTGTGTGTGTGTGTTGATATATTTGGTAGAGCACAAAACCCCAAAAGCAGATCTGAGATTGGAGAACTTGGGCTTCTCTCACTCATTTTCCAAGATCTGTACAAAAAATTGCACACACACACTATATACACATACTGTATTATTATTATTATTATTATTATTATTATTATTGCACCAAACATAGATGCAAAATATATACAAGCAGTTACATAGGTCTTTCACATACGAGGCAAACCGATCAATAAATTAAAATCACAGTTGATTATGATCAAATGCAATGCGAAATGCACCTATTAAACTGAACTGAACTGAAGACCGACAGGTCACAGGTTCGAATCCAGGAGAGTGCAGATGAGCTCCCTCTATCAGCTCCAGCTCCCCATGCGGGGACATGAGGGAAACCTCCCACAAGGATGGTAAAACATCAAAACATCCAGGTGTCCCCTGGGCAACGTCCTTGCAGATGACCAATTCTCTCAGACCAGAAGCAACTTGCAGCTTCTCAATTCGCTCCTGACATGAGAAAAAAACACTATTAAAATACCACACACAAACCATTTAAAATGCTACTTAAACCAATAGCAAGATGCACTTTTCAAGAAGTGCTTAAAAACCAAGTAAAATTCAATATTATTGAAACTTCAGCAAGAAACATTTTGGATATAGGCACTTATAATTGGGTAAAATCACCCCCAGAACAGTTGACTGCAATATCAATAATTAGCTTGACATGAACCCCTAAAGGTTGCCCATTGTGGGCATGACACATAAGGCTGCGCTGCAGCACTTTGAGTTGTTTATTATTATTGCTGTTATGTTTATTTATAGTAAAGGTAAAGGTTTCCCCAGCTTATCTCCATTTCTCAGCCAAAGAGTCGGTGTTGTCCATAGACACTTCCAAGGTCATGTGGCCAGCATGACTGCATGGAGTGCCATTACCTTCCTGCAGAAGCAGTACCTATTGATCTACTCACATTTGCATGTTTTGGACTGCTAGGTTGGCAGAAGCTGGGCCTAACATTGGGAGTTTACCCAGCTCCCCGGATTCGAACCGCTAACCTTTCGGTCAGCAAGTTCAGCAGCTCAGTGATTTAACCCGCTGCGCCACCAGGGGGCCCTAAGTTTATTTATACCCCACTTTATCTCTCCACAAGGAGACTCACTGCAGCTATGTATCCATTATTAGTATTAGAACGTATTATTATTATTATTATTATTATGTTGTTGTTGTTGTTGTTGTTGTTGTTTTATACCGTTTTCTCTCTCCACAAGGAGACTCCAAGCGGCATTGTATCTATTATTATTATTATTATTATTATTATTATTATTATTATTATTATGTTGATATATACCCTGCTTTTTCTCTCCACAAGAAGACTAAAAGTGACTAAAATGTACCTTGTTCTCGCCATTATACATATATACCGTATTTCCTCGAGCCTTGTGCATGTTAAGTGTAATGCGCACCTCAATTTCCAAAACCCTGAAACCAAAAAAAGTATTTGCTGATGAATGTCAGGCTCAGCAGGTAAAAATGCACTCTTTGTAACATGGCCATTAGTGTTGCTGCCTGCTTAGGATTTCTTCTTTAAAAACCGAAGTGTTAGGACACCAAAGCTTCCTGCAATGGAAAAGAAACCTTGGGCTGCACCTATGCTGCAGAAGGAATCCCCTTTAATTGCCTTGTTTCAATGCTATGGAGTCATGGGGGCTGTAGTTTCGCAAGGCCTTGAGCCTTCTCTGCCAACGAAGGCTGATGCCACACCAAACTACAAATCCCAGCATTGCATAGCACTGAGCCAATGTTTTCTATGAATGCTCCCATTAGAAAATTCATAAGGATGTGGGTGCACTACAACTCCCAACATTGTGAGTTAGTCACCCCCAAACCTTGCCAGTACTCAAAGTTGGCCATGTTGGATCTGGGTGCACAGTGCTCTCTGGATGTAGGTGAACTACAACTCCCCCAACTCAAGGACAATTCCCCCTATACCCCTCCAGTATTTTCTGTTTGTCATGGGGGTTCTGTGTGCTTAAATTTGGTCCAGTTCCATCATTGGTGGGGTTCATAGTGGAATTGGATTGTAGGTGAACTATAAATCCCAACAACTACAACTCCCAAATGTCAAGGTAAATTTCCCCTAAACTCCACCAATATTGACACTTGGCCATTTCGGGTATAAATGCCAAGTTTGGCTGGGGTCAACTGTCATTTGGGTTCACAGTGCTCTCTGGATATAGGTGAATGACAACTCCCCTAAATCAAGGTCAGTTCCCCTAAAATCCCTCCAGTATATTCTGTTAGTGTTGGGGATTCAGTTTGCCAAGTTTGGTCCAATTCTATCGTTGGTGGGGTTCAGAGTGTGCTTTGATTGTAGGTGAATTATAAATCCCAGCAACTATAACCTCCCTCCCTACCTTCCTTACCTTCCTCTTTCTCCTTCCATCCTTCCTTTCTACCCTTTCCTTCCCCCTCCCTCTTTCTCCTTCCTTCCCTTTCATCCTTCCTTCTTTCCTTCTCTCTTTACTTCCTTCCTTCTATCACCGGGCAGCCAGTCCTCTTAGCAGGGAGTGCTAGCATGCAGCCCCCAAGTTAGAAAGTTTGCCCATGCCCGAGCTATACTCTTTGAACAGGCTGAAGTTGATGCCTTTCGAGAAAAGGCCTTGGCAAGTGAATGTTGTTGCTTTCTGTTTGTAGGCTTGTGAAATCAAGCTCAGGTTTTGTACTGGACACTTATTTAATGCACCAGGCCCTATAAATACTGCATTTATAAAGCACAGTATATTGCACAAAGAGATGAGGATAAACACTGGGGGAAATGCATAGCATGGGCCTTTGCATCATTCTGTTTGGGTTTGCTTGAAATTTCAAAGCAGGCAATGTCAGAGTTTTCCGATGTTGCTGGACTACAACTTCCATCAGCCTCCACTATTAGCCGTGCTAGTAAGGACTGATCTGTGGCAGCCTTTTCTAAGCATCAGCAGTTTCTGACAAACAAGTCCTTGTTAATTATGGGACTCGTAGTCATTAGAAAATCACATTTTAAAATCACGTCCCTCTCATAATACCATTGGGAGACTTTCTCCCCTTGACGAACTGGAAGCTTTTTAGCAGCATCAGCATTCAGGGATGGTGAAGGAGGGCTGGGGAAGCACTCACTTTTGGTATCAGCTGTGTTGGATGGGTCAGAGTTGATTTGAAGGCACACAACAGCAATAATGTACATGACTTCTGACCTGTGCCAGATCCGAACTGGGAGCTCTTTTGGAAATTTTGGATGCAATCCAGACTGAGCACCAAGGCTCAGAACTAATGAGGCATTTTTCTGGGCAATTTCTTCCTTGCCAACGTATCGAACCTTCTCTCCCTTTTGAACTAAAATATTTAAGGCAGAGAACAAAATTATTTATTCTGTTAGGAATAAACAAGATTGCCAGCACCAGCAAGGCCACTAAAAAAAAACAAGGGGAATACATTTAGAAGTAGTTAAAGCAACAGGCCATTTCCCCTCCTCCCAAAACGCCTGGCACGGAGGTCCCTTTGAAGCAAGGCTTTTTCAGCAGAGAAAGCCAGACGTAAATAGAGCTGGTATCTGTGCCACTGCCGCCCACCCATTCCTGCTTCAGAGGAATGCAAGGGACAATGGGGCTGGCACCACGGTCGTGTCGCTGGCGCGTTTTCTTTCATCTTTCCCAGTTTGGTGCAATGTGGAGATGGGCATGCCAGCTGTATGCTTGGGCAGGCTGGCAGTACTGGTCGAGTACCCTTTTAATAATAATAGGCAACGGCAGGATTGAAGAGAAACAACTGGAAAAGCTGACACGATACGAGGATTTAAAGTTCGAACTGCAAAGACTCTGGCACAAGCCAGTAAAGGTGGTCCCAGTGGTGCTCGGCACACTGGGTGCAGTGCCTAAAGACCTTGGCCTGTACTTAAACACAATCAGGGCTGACAAAATTACTGTCAGCTGCAAAAGGCCACCCTACTCGAACTGGCACACATTATTTAGCAATACATCACACAGTCCTAGACACTTGGGAAGTGTCCGATATGTGATCCAATACAACAGCCAGCAGAGTGACCTTGCTTGCTGTGTACTAACGTTTTTGTGTTTCAAACAATGATAATAATAATACCAAGGTTTGGATCCTCAGGTCCCGTCAACACTGCCATATCATCCAAATTAAATGCATTGAATATGGTAGTTAAGGCTCATATGATCCAGTTCAATGTAGATCAGTCTGTATTCTGAAACTGCCTTATATGGCAGCATAGATCCCACCTATGTTTGCACTGACCATTATAATGCAGCTCAAGCTGCATTATGTGACAGTGTAGATGGGGCCTTGGTCAGTGAACATAATTGAAAAAGCACTACACCAAAGGACGGAAAAGGGAACAAATCTGGCCATGAAAATCCAGGGATAGTTTCACTTTGGAGTTGTGTGGAGTTGGAAATGACTCGAAGGCACACATCAACAATAGTAACTGAGCTACACTTACTTTGGATGAGGTAGGCCTTGGGTCCGATCCAGCTTTGGGTCTCGTTTTATGTCCTTAAGTGCTGGAGCCATCATATTAATAATAAATAGTGCTGCAGGGTTGTAAGGAAATGCATCGTAAAAGTCTCGTTGGAGAAGGTTCCCAATGCTATTCGGAGCCATTAGAGACTCTAATGGATTGGAAACTGGTGCTGCGAGACAATGCGTGGTCCGGATGACTCACACAGGGCCCTCCAAGCCTTGTCTGCTTGTAATGTGGACAAGTTGCATCTTGCAAGACAAAGGGCTTGAGGCAACCAATTTCTTCTGTTGGGAGGGGCACAAATTAAATGGTGTACTTGACCTTCCAAGTACAGTTGGCCCTCCGTATTTACACATGTGATTGTGTTTGATTAGAATGTTCTCTATGTTAGGAATCCCTAGGTTCTCCAGTGTGAGCTTGTGGTCAACTTCCAACCTAGAATCACTCTGGAGGAACTAGAAATCCCTACAGAGAACACTTCTCTGGGAATCTCTCAGTCTTCCAGAGCAATTGCATGGTCAACTTCTAGCCAAAGTTGATCAAATAGTTGTACTTGAGAGCTGTTCTCTCTGGTTAAACAAATAAAGAGTACGTTTTTCCTGCACATTTCCCTCCTTTTGCAAGGGATCCTGTGCCCCACCTTTCTAGTGAGTCCTGCCTTTTCATGTTATGACCAAAGTATAGCATTCTTTGTTCTTGCATCTCAGCTTCTTGGGGGAGTTGGACTTGCTTTGCTCTAGGATTTGCCTTTTCAGCTGTCCTTCATTAAATAAAACATGGTTAGATTTTACTAGGCCAGTTCAGTTGACTTTGAATACTATTGCATCCTTAACTTACCAGGCATCAAGCCTCAAGGTGTTTGCTGCCATCTGCTTTTGCCCCAAGATGGAAACTTTCTGTAGACAACAACAACAACAACAACAACAACAACAATAATATACTTAATGTATATTCAGCCCTATCTCCGCGAGGGGACTCAGGGCAGATTACAGAACACATATACAGCAAACATTCAATGCCATTATACAGTTAACAAGGACAGACAGTACATAAATAGTGGTAAAGGCTTTCCATCTTTTTCCATTTCCGGCATCTGGAGATTGTGCTTGACTCTGGCCACGGGGGAGGGGGGAGTGGAGTTGCTGTCACTCCATCTTCCATGCCGAGGAGCTTTGTTGTCCTTAGATGCTCTCCCGATCCAACTGCCAGCATGTCTATGGGTACTTGCCAAAGTGGCACCTACTTATCTACTCACATTGCTGTTTTCGAACTGCTAGGTGAGCAGAAGCTGGGCTGACAGTTGGGAGCTCACCCCAATCGGAGTTTGAACTGTAGACTTTTCAATCGGCAAGATTTTCTGCAGCTGGTGGTTTAACCTGCTGTGCTAAAGCCCAACCAAATGCAGAAACTATTCACTGCAACACCTTGATATTTTTCTTGCTTACCTGCTCCAAGCAATGAGCAGAGATGCCTTTTAAAGGTTGCAGTGCCTTCATGCACGTTCACTTGCATCTTAGCAGCCAAATGGTTGAAAAGTCCTTTTTAAAAATGGAAATCTGTGATCAAGCTGCAAGAAAAAAATATATACTTGGGTCGCAACTGTGAGCTTGTTCCTTTTAACAAGTGGCCAGAGCTGGCCAAAATGACCAGGAGATCAGGGGCTTGTTTTTATTAGGAAAGGCCCCACGTTTTGGGATTTCTTAAGTGGGGATTTAAAAATAAGACACTGCAGAAGTGCAGAAAATAATGCAACATTTGGAGGCCTATTTGGCTATCTTATTGCCTTTTTTGTTGCAAGTTTGGGACCCTTCTCTCTAGTTGTAGTGGCTAAAGGATTCTGGGAATAGTAGTCTATTAAAGGAACTATTCCAAGACTCTGACCTAAGTCTATGTTTTCTTGCTATGGGTGAGTACATCTTCACCTTTGCAATAATAATAATAATAATAATAATAATAATAATAATAATAATACTTTATTTATCCCCCGCTCCATCTCCCCCAGTGGGACTCAGTGCGGCTTACATGAGGCCACGCTCATCAGTACAGTACATACATTACAATAGAAACACAAACGATACCAGAAAATAAAATACAGGCATTGGTAAAATCATGTGACACGATTTTTGTTCCTGGGTTGGTAAATGTCATTTCCTAATTGGTTCTGTCATAAAAACATGACAAAAGTTTACTAAACTGCAAAAACTTTGTCTTTGCGGGAGGAACATTGTCCCGCAGCACATTTTGTTCTCGTTTTTCAGTGAATCTCTCATCAAGTCTCAACCAAGTCAACATAGTTTGTGCTGCAAAAACAAAGTTTCTGAGCCGAATAAAGTAAGGAGCACACAGTTAAACAGGGGAAAACACTTTCAAACCAGGAACAAGATTTGTTTGGGCCCCCCCCCCCAAATTTTGTTATATAATGTCATTATCCAATTTAAAGCAGATAATCTGGATCCAGAAACTGAATTGGATGGTAGTGTGGATGGTTGCTCTGTTTGGCAAGAACGTTCCCAATTCATCCTTTTCCACCTTTTAAGCTGCTTTGATAGTGCCTCGGTTTCTCCAGGTGGGATTGCAGTGGGCCTGTTCTGCTGGCACTGACCCCTTTCGCCCTTCTTTGGCAGCTTGATCCCGACAACACGGGCTTCATTGGCGTGGAGACCTTTGCCAGCCTGGTGCACAGCCATGAACTGGCCCTGGACCCGGCCAAGCTGGAAATGCTGGTGGCGTTGGCCCAGAGCAACGACGAGGGACAGATCTGCTACCAGGAGCTGGTAGACCTGGTCAGTGGCGTGAGTACCAGCAGCCGCTTCATGGCCCCCACACTGCTCTGTATTTGGACCAAAGCCCCAGCTGCCTTTGCTAGGGCCTGGGGGGCTGGATGTTTTCAAAAAGTAATGTCTGACTTGCTTTAAACAAAATCATAATCCGGTGTCAGTGGTATGAGTATTGGGCGATGGCTCCGGAGACGAGGATTTGATTTCCTCGTTCAGCAACCACTGACACGCCTTGGGTGCATCACACTTTCTCAGCCACAGAAAACCCCTTGATAGAGTTGACGCAATCAAGCTGTTTTCCATCTGTGGAAAACATCTTGAAGGCAAACAGTAGCAAATAACAATGTGGATCTTTGTTAAAAAGGTGGCCTCTTTTTATTTTATACTTTGTCTTTTCAAGTCCTGAGATATGAAACTTGGCCTCATCCTCATTGCCGTATTACCCAGTTCCCAAATCCAGATTTTACCCGCTATGAACTGAGATTTATTTATTTATTTATTTATTTATTTATTTACTGCCCTTCTCAGCCCCGTAAAAGGACTCAAGGCAGCTTACATGTATAGGCAACAATTAGATGCCAAAAAACACACATACATAATAACACATAAGCATTAAAACAATCATTAAAACATAACAAAATCTTTAGAACCAATTATTTAAAATCATGCAATTCAATATCATAGTCTGTGGCCGTTCCAATTTGTCATTGCACTGTTTCATCTTTCTTACTGCACTGGTAGATTACTCACTGAATGCTTGGTCAAACAACCAAACTGTTTCCTAAAGGTCAGGAGGGAGGGGAGCTGATCTAATTTCACTCTGGAGCCAAGGAGTCACCATTGAGAAGGCCCTGTCTCTTGTCCCCACCAGTCGCACTTGCAAAGGATTGAGAGCAGGGCCTCCCCAGAAGATCCTAGTCTCCTTGCCAGCACATAGAGGGAGATAAGTTTGGACAGGTAAACTGGGCTGGAACCGTTTAGGGCTTTATGAGCTAAAGCCAGCACTTTGGATTGTGTTTCATAGCAGACTGGCAGTGTATGGCAGTGTAGATCCAGCCAGACTTTGTAAACCTGGGCCATTGGCTGCTTTTCAGCCTGGCCTGCTTTGCAGGGCTGTCATGAAAGTAAAACAGCAAAAATATTGGCCTCAATGCCATTGGAGAAAAAAACAGGATAAAAAGAGGGGAAAAAGTCATGAAATCATGTAATTGGGTAGAAACCATGAGCTCCAGAAGTTGGATCTAGAGAGGGAGCCCAGGAAAACAGTTTTAAGGGATAATGTAAGGCAAGCATGTCCAAAGTGTGGCCTGGGGGCCAATTGTGGGCCTTGTTAAAATTTCTATTGGCCCCCAGCCTCTGTCATAAAATCAATAACATTCGGCCCACCAGCACTGTTGACCACAGTCTAAAATACATGTGTACAAAAAAGCTATTTTATATTTCACTAGAAGATGGCTCTCAAGATTACTAAAATCTCAACAAATCTGTTTCATACAAATATTTGTTGTTCTCAGCATGATCCCAGTCTGTGTCTCTGTGTATGCTTTTATGCTCCCACCCCACATGATGCTTTAGTATTAACTCCACCAGTATGTCCAAGGATTGGATTGAAATCCATGAAAGCACATGCTGAAATGAATGAGTCTCAAAGGTGGTGCTTGCTCCTATTCCTCCTGTTTTAAAATACAGCTCAAAAATTCACACACACGGGTGCGTGTTTCTGTGTGTGTGTATATACATATGTACATGCACTTACACAGATAAATTATAGATGATATTATTTATATACTGCTTTTTTCTCTCTTAAAAGAGATGTACAAGGTTTAGATCTATTTGTGTTCAGTGTGAAGAACTGAAAAGTATGCCTTTTGCAATACAAATTTCATAAAATAGTTCATTTGTATTTAATGTTAATGGTTTAAAAAATGTCAGGCTGTACGGTTGGCCCCACACATTTACAGCTCACCAAATCTGGCCCACGTTGTAAAAAGTTGGGACAGCCCTGATGTAAGGAATAGTTTCCCTGCCTTTTCCTTCCTCTTTGTTTTGCTGAAGCCCTTGTTTGCAAAAGCATTAAGCCTTCCCCAGCAATTCAGCAATTCAGCAAGGAATACTTAATGCTCAATGATGTCTCCCTAATTGGCTCAAGGTATGTGCCAAAAGCGTCCTGGGCAGGAGAAGGCATTGACACATTGCAAGCCCATTCCCCAAATCAGTGGCCCTTTCCCTTTCCCCTTAAAGGCATTGTCCTTGTCTTTCATGCCTCCGTGGAGGAGGGTGGAGGAGGGTGAATCACCTGTGGAAAGTCTCTCTCTGACCCTACCATGACAACCCGTAACTATGGTATGAGTCTATTTTAATGCTTAGACCACAAGTGTTTCTCATACAGGACAAACCAATATATACACATAAAAAAGTGAAAATATGTATGTGTATGTGACTACTGCGCCCACTTACATTAGTGGTTCTCAACCTGTGGGTCCCCCAGTGTTTTGGCCTACAGCTCCCAGAAATCTCAGCCAGTTTACCAGCTCTTAGGATTTCTGGGAGTTAAAGGCCAAAACATCTGGGGACCCACAGGTTGAGAACCACTGACTTCCACAGACAAGCTCCTGCCTCCACAAACAGTTATAGCTCCCACCTCTCAGGAGACACCAAAGGCCCTCCCTCCAATGACATTGCAGGTTATAGTGAGCATCATGAACATGTACAAGAGCCCTGCCAATGTCCCCCACAAACACCTCACTGCCCACCACCCAAGTGAAGGCTTTCATATGGGGACAATTTCATCAGAGATTTTATGTGCTTTCCTCCACCACAGACATCCCAGTGTTTCTTACTCCCTCAATTGGTATGGAATTTGCATGACCCCACCCACTGCCTCTTCTTTAACCCTTTCCTGTTCTTTCTATGCCACACAGCAGAGGAATTGATCAGAAACTGAACATACTAAAGATGTTTGGGGAGAATTCACCATGATTTATAGGAGTTGTATATACTGAGATATATAGTTCACCTGCAATCTAAGAACTGCACTCTGACCTCCACCAACAATGGACCTGGAACTAACTTGGCAGAGTCACCGAGTCACCAATGATGCATTTAAAGCAAACTTGTCCAACATAACAAACCTTAGGTACTGATGGCGTTTGTTGGGGTTAACCTGGCATGATGTGAGTTGAAGTTCACTCACAACCTTAGGCATTGTGTACAATTAAAAAATTGACTTTTTCAAAGAAGCCGAGCAATACCAGGTGCCCTGCTAGTAAACACATAAAAAACATATGATTATTATTATTAAATACAATGCGAAACACACCATTAAGAGACTACATAAACCATTAAAATGCTTCACAAACCAATGATGAGATGCACCCTTAAAACACTACATTGATTACCTCTTGCATAGTTAAAAACAGGTAGAATTGAGCATTATTAAAACTTAACAAAAACCAACAACAAAAAAACAAAAATACCACTTTGGATATAGATAACCACACTATGATTATTAGGTAAAAGCACCCCCCGAACAGTTGATTGCGATATCAGTCCTTAATCTTGCCTGGATTAAGGGTAAAAAAAAGTTAAATCTGGAAGTAATGAGAGGAAATTGAATTATGAAAGAGTTTCTTTTAGAATGGTGCGTAAAGTTAGTGGCGTGTTTATTGCAACAACGTCATTAAAAAAAACTATCTTAAGATGAAAACTGTTAATGTCAGGTTGTGCATAAACACAGGTGGGCAAAATGCCGAATGCACCTGGGCTCCTCAGAAGCCAATAACAACCTTCTTTTCCCCGTCAAGGCATTTTAAGTAGGTTAAAACACAGCCAGAAAATGCCCCAGAAAATGTCCTTAGTTTGGGGGCAGTTTGGGAGCAAAGAACTTTGTGTGTGTGTATTGTGGTTGGGCACAAATACATTCCAGGGCAACTATAATGGATGAAGCCAGGTAAATGGAAGCTTAATCCAGACAAGATTGTGGTGCTTCTGTTCATTCGAAAGACAGACCTGGAAGAGGAATTCAGCGGATGTTAGGTGGATTACACTCCCTTGATAATGCAGGTTAGCATTTGGGGTTGCTTTTGGATTCAAGCTTTGCATTTTGAAGTTAGGTTTGGATGCAAGGTTTACATTTTAGGGTTACTTTTGGATTCAAGGTTTGCATTTTGGGGTTACTTTTGGATTAAAGTTTTGCATTTTGGAGTTAATTTTGGATTCAAGGTTTGCATTTTGGGGTTACTTTTGGATTCGAGTTTTGCATTATGGGGTTACTTTTGGATTCTACTTTTGCATTTTGGAGTTACTTTTAGATTCAAGGTTTGCATTTTGGAGTTATTTTTGGATTTGAGGTTTGCATTTTGGAGTTACTTTTGGATTCGAGGTTTGCATTTTGGAGTTACTTTTGGATTAAAGTTTTGCATTTTGGAGTTAATTTTGGATTCAAGGTTTGCATTTTGGGGTTACTTTTGGATTCGAGTTTTGCATTATGGGGTTACTTTTGGATTCTACTTTTGCATTTTGGAGTTACTTTTAGATTCAAGGTTTGCATTTTGGAGTTATTTTTGGATTTGAGGTTTGCATTTTGGAGTTACTTTTGGATTCGAGGTTTGCATTTTGGAGTTACTTTTGGATTAAAGTTTTGCATTTTGGAGTTAATTTTGGATTCAAGGTTTGCATTTTGGGGTTACTTTTGGATTCGAGTTTTGCATTATGGGGTTACTTTTGGATTCTACTTTTGCATTTTGGAGTTACTTTTAGATTCAAGGTTTGCATTTTGGAGTTATTTTTGGATTTGAGGTTTGCATTTTGGAGTTACTTTTGGATTCGAGGTTTGCATTTTGGAGTTACTTTTGGATTCAAGGTTTGCATTTTGGGGTTACTTTTCGATTCGAGGTTTGCATTTTGGAGTTACTTTTACATTTGAGGTTTGCATTTTGGTGTTGCTTTTGGATTCAAGGTTTGCATTTTGGGGTTACTTTTGGATTCGAGGTTTGCATTTTGAGGTTACTTTTGCATTCAAGGTTTGCATTTTGGGGTTACTTTTGGATTCGAGGTTTGCATTTTGAGGTTACTTTTGGATTCGAGTTTTGCATTATGGGGTTATTTTTGGATTCTAGTTTTGCATTTTGGAATTACTTTTGGATTTGAGGTTTGCATTTTGGAGTTACTTTTGGAGTTGAGGTTTGCATTTTGGGGTTACTTTTGGATTCAGGTTTTGCATTTTGAGGTTACTTTTGGATTCAACTGCGGCAAGGAATGCATTTGGACATTTAAAGCCTGTGTGCCAACTATGCCCGTTCATGAAGAAATCCGATCTTGCTATTGATGGCACATGCCTTGGCTACATCCCGTTTGGATTACTCTATTATGTTATTGGTGCCTTTGAAAAGTTCTCAGAATCTTTGGTTATCCCAAGGGATTGCAACCAGTTTGATAACTGGGACTAGGGAACACACCATCACCTGGTTGAAAGAGCTCCACTGGTTATCAGTTTGCTTCCAAGCAAGATTTGGAGCGTTGATTTTGACCTATAAGGAAAGACCTGTATGCTTTGGATGCAGCATCTTCCAGGAGTTCTCAAACTCCTCAAAAACCCCAAGGAGTGTTTCTATATTGTATTATATATTATATATAATGTATTTACATCAGGCAAACTTTTGGACACAGGGGCCACATTGGTTTTTAAAATCTGACAGACGGGGCAGATGGGTGGAGAGTGTTTGTGTAAACTCATTGAAAAAACATGAACCAAATGCCTATGTGTACTGCACATATCTTGTTTGCAGAGCAAAAAAGAAAGCACAATACAATATTTAAAATTAAGAACAATGTTAACCAAAATAAATTTAACAATATTTCAGTAGAAGACCCCAAGGTCCATCCAGTCCAATCCCCTTTATTCTGCAATGCAGGAAAAGCACAATCAAAGCACTCACAATAATAATAATAATAATAATAATAATAATAGGAACAACCCCAAAGCCATTCAGTCCAATCCACTTCTGCCATGCAGGAAAAGCACAATCAAAGTACCCCCGAGAGATGACCATCCAGGCTTTGCAGTGATGATGATGATGATGATAGAAGCAGCTCCAGAGGTCATCCACTTCAATTCCCTTCTGCCTTTATGCAGGAAAAGCACAATCAATGCACCCTAGACAGATGACCATCCAGGCTTTACAATAATAGTAATATTTATTTATTTATTATTTATTTGATTCATTTGTAGACCGCCGCTCTCAGCCCTAGGGCGACTCGCGGCGGTGCACAGCATATAAAAACAGTTTACAAAAGTACAGCAAAAATCAACATAACAAATTACACACTAATCTAATCCAAAATTACACTAACTAATCCGCATCGTCACAATATAGAATCGTAGCCAATCTCATAGTCCATGTCCGTTCCAATTGTCATTACCAGCTCATTACCAGCTAATGTAGCACTCAATTAAATGCCTTCTCAAAGAGCCAGGTCTTTAGGCTCTTACGGAAGGCCATAAGGGAAGGCGCCTGTCTGATGTCAACAGGGAGCAATATGTCAACTAATAGCAATAGTAATAATAATAGCAGCCCCAGAAGTCATCCAGTTCAATCTCCTTTTGCCTTTATGCAGGAAAAGCACAATCAAAGCACCCCAACAGATGGCCACCCAGCCTTTGCAATGATGATGATGATGATGATGATGATAACAATAATAATAATAATAATAATAATAATAATAATAATAATAGGAGCAACCCCAGAGGCCATCCAGACCAACTACCTTCTGTAATGCAATAAAAGTACAATCATAGCACCCCCAAGCATCAGATGGCCACCTAACCTTTGTAATAACAATAAGGGTCTGGTCAGTGATGGGATAAAGGGAAAAGGGTTGCAGGGGCGCAGGAGAAAAGGTTTGTGCCTTCGGAGGAGAAAGTGGGGAAGGAATGACAGACGGATAGATGCACAGAGCCCCTCAGTATGCCTTGTGGAGACCTAAGGGCTCTGCACAGCACGCTTTAAGAATCACTGGGTTATTGGAAGGACTGTATCTCCCTTTGTGAGCACCATAGAAGCAAGGGGGGGGGGCGTTTTGGACAGGACGGGGATATATCCGTTGCTGCCCCTGCGGCCCTCTGCGCATCACGGCCTCTCTTTCCAGATCAGCAGCAAGCGGTCCAGCAGCTTCAAGCGAGCCATTGCCAACGGGCAAAGAGCGCTGCCCCGCGACGGGCTCCTGGATGAGACTGGGCTGGGTTTCTACAAGCGCTTTGTGCGCTATGTGGCCTATGAGATCCTGCCCTGTGAGATGGACCGACGGTGGTACTTCTACCAGCACCGCGCCTGCCCTCCGCCGGTCTTCATGGCGGTGGTCACCTTAACCCAGGTGAGTATCTCTGTGGCCATTGAGGACATAAAATAGCTTCCATTTATCCAATTTTGAACAATTCTTTCTGCATGGACTGTCCTAAGCGAGTCTCTTTCTTTTCCCTGCTAGATCATTGTTTTCCTCTGCTACGGGGCCCGGCTGAACAAGTGGGTGCTGCAGACATACCACCCGGAGTACATGAAGAGCCCCCTCGTCTATCACCCGGGGCACCGAGCTCGAGCCTGGAGATTTCTCACTTACATGTTTATGCATGTTGGGTAGGTATTTGGGGGTGGCTTCGTGTAGTTTTCACTTATTTTACAGCAGTTTTCACCTGTCTCTTACAGCAGGCATGGGCCAACTTTGGCCCTCCCTCCAGGTGTTTCGGCTGTTAGGAGTTGTGGGAATTAAAGTCCAAAATACTTTGAGGGAGGACCAAATTTGGCTTGTGTCTGCCTTCCAGGTTATCTATAATTGAGCATCCATTTAGACGTGGGTCCTGCTTCCAAGATACTCTCATGACATATATGCAAACATTCCAAGTTCTGAAAAAAAATCCAAAATACTTTGGGTTGCTGTGAGTTTTCTGGGCTGTGTGGCCATGTTTCAGTAGTGTTCTTTCCTGAGGTTTCGCCTGCATCTGTGGTCGGCATCTTCAGAGATTTGTTCAGAGACCTGAAGGAAATGAGGCAAGTGGGGTGTATTTGTGGAATATCCAGGGTGGGCTACCTCTATGTAGATACCCTCACCAATTGACTTTGCATCTGCAAGACTACTCAATGCTAATCAAGCTTGCTAATTGCAACATTCACACTTGCTTCAAACAGACAAGACTTCTTTCTTCCATCCTGGACATTATTCCACACACACACACACACCACTTGCCTCACTAGCAACAGAACCTCTGAAAATGCCCTTAGCCACAGATGCAGGCAAAACATCAGGAAAGAAACCTGCTGGGACATGGCCAAACAGCCCAAAAAACTCACAGCAACCCCAGTGGTTCCAGTCATGAAAGCCTTTGACAACCAAATTACTTTTTTTGGTCCCAAGCATTTTGGAGAAATTTAATCTGTACTTCTTTCTGGAACAACTGTGGGAGGTGGGGAAGAATCACTGCAGACCTTCAAGGCTTAGGTTTAGCTACCCTACAATGTACCCCACAATGTAGCTTTGCCCATCATTAGCCGCCACCGCTCATGCCACAAGTCATGGGGAGGGAGTCCAGGTGCTTCGGTGGCAGCATCTGTGGCATTCCCCTCCTTTAAAAAAATCGTGAAACAACAACAACAACAACAACGATGATGATGATAATAATAATAATAGCTGTAGTGTTTTTGCAATGTTTATGTGTTTTAATTATTCTGTAACCCGCCTCAAGCCATGGGGAGAGGTGGGTAAGAAATAGTAATAATGATAATATGTTCAGAGACAACTCTAGGGTTTCCAGCTGAAACTGGACTGGGTAAATGTAGAAGCGACCTTTTATAAGTGAGGATAATGATAATAATAATAATAATACATCATTTATATCCCGCCCCCTCTCCCCAAAGTGACTTCGGGCGGCTCACAACAGAAAAAATGCAGTATACATAATAATACTTGAGCCAGGCTTTAGCACAGCAGGTTAACTGCCAGCTGCAGTCAATCTTGCCAACTGAAAGGTTGACACTTTGAAGCCCAGGTCAGGGTGAGTGCCTTACCTTTCAGCCCAGCTTCTGCCTATCTAGTAATTTGAAAACAGCAATGTGAGTAGATAAATAGGGATGCTTTACAGTGAGGAGGTATTTAAGGCACCCATAAGGAAATGCCCCAAAATGCCGGTGATTTGATCAAGGAGGAAGTTTACGAACAAAGCTCTTTGGCAGGGAAGATGGAGTGACAGCACACACACACACACACACACACACACACACACACCCTGCCCCATGGCTGGAACTGAGCACAGCCTCCAAGATGCTGAAGATGGGAAAGCCTATATATATATCTATCTATATACAGTTGTCTGTCTTGTCAGTGTACAATGGCATTGAATGTTTGCTGTCTATGTGTTCTGTGATCTGCTCTGAGTCCTCTTCAGGGTGAGAAGTGTGGTATATAAATGCTGTAAATAAATACATGATAACATTAAGGTTACTGGAGCCATTGTCAGAATAGTGTTAGCAGCCCACAGAATGTCTCAGCCCCTTTTACTCTCAGTGTGATAAAAACTCAAAAAATACACATTTGTCTGTTGCTTTAAGTAGAAACAAAAATTTAGTTCTGTCCACTGTAGGTCAAAAACACAAAGCAAAAACAGAAGAATTGTTCTCACCAATATACAGCAAACAATATATCCGGTGAGTGTTGTTCTTTACACGACAACATGCAAGCACATAGCAAAATAATACAGTCTCTCTACTAAGTTATCAATAGAATGTCCTTATCTTACCATAAACAAGCTGTTTCCTTGGCACTCCAAACTGCTTCAGGATGCTGCGTAACCACTCCCAGCAACAGCTAAAGGTTTCTTCAGCTCAAACGAGCATTCAAGCTAAGCCAAACGCAAAGCTCAACGCTTGCAAACCTAGTGCCTTGTTATATGCTGCAAGAAATAACGCACCCAATTAACTTGTGGCAGCTGTAACAGAAAAGTTTCTGATCCTCCCTGTTACTTAGAAAAAGCCTGTTGTAAACCCCTGGTAGCAACAGCTGGTTCTGGATACAACGTGATAACCCTACATGGCGCATACATTCCCTCTAAAACAGAACTGATACATTAGATGCATTGTTAGTGATCAAAGCTCCGTTGGTTTCTTCCTCCCAATGTCTGGATCCAACGTGGCCACCCTACATGGCACATACATCCCATCTCAAACAGGGCTGATACGTTAGATGCATAGTTAGAAATCCAAGCTCCGTTGGTTTCTTCCTCCCAATGTCTTTCTTGTGGCCTCTTCTGTCCTGGGATTGCTGGCTGTTGCAGCTTCCTCTTATGTCTTTCCAGGTTAGAACAGCTCGGCTTCAATGCCCTCCTGCAGCTGATGATCGGGGTTCCCTTGGAGATGGTCCACGGCGTCCTCCGCATCAGCTTCCTCTACCTGGCCGGTGTCCTGGCAGGTGAGTCCCCTTTTCCCTTGCATCACAGTCTTCTTGTCAGCAACCAAGCATAATAAACCTATTACCTTTTAGGGTCTTTCTGGACGCTATACGGAAGCCAAGCTTTTCTGCGGGGAAAAAAAGCATTTCTGCATAGAAAGCAGAATTGTCTGCACAAAAAGCAAGCCTGTCAAAAGGAGAATTTTCTAGGCAGGAAAAAATAGTTTGCTTGTGCACAAAAGGCAACTTGACATGGTTCCTTTGTTTGTGTGTTTGTGCAAAAAATGCTATTTTCTGTTCAATGGCAAGGATAGCCCAAATGCAGGCACAGGTAGGCTTTCTGGGCCTTAATCCATTCTATTGGGTTAATCCATTCTACCCAGCTTCTGGTCAAAGGACATTTAATATAATGCCAAGTTTTCAAACTTTGTATTTTTTGTTTGTTTGCTTTTTAAAAAATGCAATACAAATGTACCCTTGGTTCACTCCTGATATGATAAATATTTGTTCTATTTATTGGCAACTGTCCTATCTGTAAAGTAAAGGGCAGAATCATGCAGCTCCCCAGATGTTCTTGGACTGCACATTCTAGCAATAGAATACAACAACTTTATTATCATTATACATCGTACAATGAATCCTAACCAGTATGGTCAAGATGAGGAGTGGAGGGAGTAGCAGACCAAAACCACCTGGAGATGAGGAATGCTGGAAATGGTGGGACCAAGCTTTCAGGACAGTGCAACAAAGCAGCGATACCTTACCAAGCCAATTAGATTAGACGCAGATGATCAAGACGGTTTTAAACAGTGTATTTTAATATTGAGACAAATGTTTTTTTAACATTTATGTATGCACTTAATGAATTCTTGTCCTGGCACTGAATGTTTGCCGTATATATGGTGTGCTCTGCCCTGAGTCACCTTCGGGGTGAGAAAGTCGGAATATAAATGTTTTAAATAAATAAATAAAAGCATCTGGAATGCTAATCACACCGATTAATGATGTTTAATACTGCTTAATACTTGTATATTTGTATATTTTAATGCAATGCTTTTAATTGTGAGCCACTTTAAGTCTCCATATGGAGAGAAAAAGCAGGATATAAATAAACATAATAATAATAACAACGGTCTATAGATAGAGATTCAGGCATAGCCAATTTCGGCCTTCCTTCCAGGTGTTTTGGACTTCAACTCTCACAATTCCTAACAACCTACTGACTGTTAGGAATCATGGGAGTTGAAGTCCAAAACACCTGGAGGGAAGGCCAAAGTTGGCCCATGCCTGGTGTAGACAGTATCTGGGAATCAAGGGCATCCTCCTGCTGTGCATTTCTTCAAGCAGCTTCATTATTGATGGTGAGAAGAGAGGGGAGATAAAGCCTTTTAAATCACCAGGAGCCTTTTGTCAAGTGGCTAATAAATCATTCTGGGTGAGGTGGATTTCATCTGAAATGCTTGACAAGTAGCTGCCAAGCAGGTGGAGTATCTCTCTCTCCTGCCTTCTCTCCTGCTGCCTGGTTACCCACCATCTCTTCTCTGGAGAGCACAATCTCTTAATCCCAAGCGGTAGAAGCCTGCAATGAAAAGACCAAGCAGTGACATCTCCCACCCATCCTCTGTTCAGATATCAGCCAGCAGGCCAATGCGTTAAATCAAGAAACAGCTTCCTAAGATCTCCAGAGATACTCACAGGAACACCTGAGCAAGCAAGAGTCCAAAAGTGACAGGCTAACCTGGAATCTCAACCAGTGGCTGAGAACAGATGCGAAATTTCTCCCTGGGCACACAAAAGACTAGGCGACTTGGAAGGTGCTGAACAGACTGTGCTCTGGCATTACGAGATTCAATGCCAATCTTAGGAAATGGGGTTACAAAGTGGAGTCCACAAGATGCGAGTGTGGAGAAGAGCAAACTACAGACAACTTACTAAAATGCAGCCTGAGCCCTGCCACATGCACAGGAGCTTCTGCCACATGCACAGAGCCCTGCCAGAGGCACTTTGAATGAACATGTAATATAATTGCAAGTCTTTAGCTTTGTTTGTGGTTTTTCTATATGTTATAACTATTCTCTATTCACTTCTGACACGATAAATAAATACAGTACAGTTTGATCTGCATTGAAATGGTTAGTGTAGATGTACCCTCAAACCCTGGTTTCACAAGAATATCAACATGAAAGCAGTTTTAATTGTTCTAATATATAGGAACCTATTGCCCCCATTGTCTCCATCTCTTTTACAACTGAATGATTCCTACAGCTCCAGCTAGTAGTTTAATTGATTGGTTCCATCGATTTCAAAAAAACTCACTTTGACCCTTTAAAAAGCTGAATGGGTTGGTGGATCTTGGTTTCTTTCTAAACGCAAGAGTTGTTTTCTAACCTAAGTGCCTGCAAATGTCCGCATGCCAGGACGTCTCCCTCTTGCACAAAGAAATGCGTATTTTCACCCCCCCCCCAAAACGACGTCTGCCACGCTGACATTTGCGTGTGTCGTTTACTTGACAAAATTAAAGAATAATATTCCTCCTCGCTGTTGATATTTGTTTCATTCAAATGCAAATCCGTGCAGATATGAATGGGCGAAAAAATCCTGCAATCAGTTAAGTCAAGATTTTGCAGCTTGTACCACGAGGCCTATTTAATTATTTTTAGATCTCAGCTTTTAGGGTTGAAGCAGATGTGACGTTCGACGCAGAGTTGGACGCGGCGCACGAGTCTTTTGTTAACCTAGAAATAGCAGCTGCAGAAGGCTTGATCAAACCCAGATTGCCGTTTTTAGGGACGGTGTGTGTGAGCCTAGAGTTTTAACCCTTCCGCGGACTTCCCATCCATCCCGATTGGCTATTCGGCATTGATTTTTGCATCAAATCAATGGATTAATTAATATCAGTACTGCATAATTGAATCTCAGGCTGTTTTACAATAATAAAAGTCTGAAAAAAGACAAGAAAGCACCAAGAAAACCCATCAAAAGAACAAGAGATCTGTTTCAAACATTCCAGTCCTAAAGTATGAAGGTGTTAAGCGTTAAAAAGCTAAAACATTTTTATTCAGGCAGGCTTTGATAGAAGAAGGTTTTTAAGACCATTTTAAAAATACCATTGATAGTTTCTGTTTTAATGTTTGACTATTTGTGGGTTTTAAATGGTATACAAATGGGTTGCTGTGAGTTTTCTGATCTGTACGGCTATGTTCCAGAAGCATTCTCTCCTAATATTTTGCCCACATCTATGGCAGGCATCCTCAGAGGTTGAGACCCTTGAACCTCTGAGGATGCCTGCCATAGATGTCGGTGAAGCGTCAGGAGATAATGCTTCAGGGGCATTGCCATACAAACCGGAAAACTCACAGCAACCCAGTGATTCTAGCCTGGGAGAAGACCTGGTTATGGAATGGAACACTGAAGAAGGAGACAGAAGGCCTGATTCTTGCAAGTCAGGAGCAAGCCATCAGAACAAATGCGATTAAGGCCAGGATCGAAAAATCAGCTGATGACCCAAAATGCACACACTGCAAGGAAGCTGATGAAGCCATTGATCATATCCTCAGCTACGGCAAGAAAATCGCACAGACAGACAACAAACAGAGGCACAACTGTGTAGCCCAAATGATTCGTTGGAATTTATGTCATAAGTACCACCTGCCAATAGTAAAGAACTGGTGGGACCATAAACCTGCAAAGGTAGTGAAAAATGAATGCAAAAATACTGTGGGACTTTCAAATCCAGACTGACAAAGATTTGGAACACAATACACCAGACATCACGATTGTGGAAAATAAAAAAGTTTGGATTATTGATGTTGCCATACAGGATAAACTCAGCCGACCTCAAAATCAAACTGCAAAGGCTCTGGCATAAAACAGTACAGGTGGTCCCAGTGGTAATCGGCACACTGGGTGCCATGCCAAAAGATCTCAGCTGGCATTTGGAAACAGTAAACATTGACAAAATCATGATCTGTCAACTGCAAAAAGCCACCTTACTTAGATCTGCACGCACCATTCGAAAATACATCTCACAGTCCTAGAAGCTTGAGAAGTAGTCGACTTGTGATTTTGTGATATGAAATCCAGCATATAGATCTCGTTTGCTGTGACATACTGTGTTTTTATGTCATTAAAATAACAACAACAACAATAATAAAGGCTGGTTTAAAGCTTGCAAAAACAAAAGCAAGACCAGATTTGGAGGTGGTACTCTTATCTCTCCAAATGAAAATTCCCCTTATTCTGTCAGATGTCGAGATGAAAAGGCCTGGAAACAAACCAGAAAAATGGGTGGGGGAGACAAAAACCAGGGGTTTTGGGAGATATGTTGACTGGCACTTGTTTGCTGTCAGCAAAAGGAGAATTCCAGGCAGCAAAAGGTGCCAGTCAACACCTCCCAAACAAAGGATGCCTCCAGGCAACAACACTGATTCACTTTGCAGCTGCAATGCTACTCAGTGCTAATCAAGCCTGTCAGTTGCAACATTTACACTTGCTTCAGCTGATAAGAGTTCTTTCTCCCACCCTGGACCATCGACAGACAGACAGATACACTCCCCTTGCCTCATTTCCAACAGACTTCTGAACAAACCTCAGATGCAGGCAAAACATCAGAAAAGAATGCTACTGGTACATGATTGTACAGCTCGAAAAACTCATAGCAACTCAGGAAAAAACACCTGTTTTTCCCCAATTTTTCTGGGTTTTTTTCCAGGCCTCCTCATTGCTATAGTCTGATGGAACCATGGCAGTTATAGGAGAATGACAATGCCATGTGAGTGCAGATAGGCTCCTAAGAGATGTTCCTCCATCTCGCCTGAGTTACTGCTCACACTGCATCTCTTGTGTTTTGCTGCAGGTTCCCTGACGGTCTCCATCACTGACATGCGGGCGCCTTTGGTTGGGGGCTCTGGGGGCGTCTATGCCCTCTGCTCAGCTCACCTGGCTAACGTCGTGATGGTGAGCATGGTGGGGAGGGGAGGTGGGCATCAGACTTGAGGTCCATCCCCTTTGACAAATGCCCCTTGGAATCCATCAAAGTGGATCACCACAAAATGTCTCACGTCCAAGCACAGTCATGATGACGTCCCTCCCATCCCTGACTGTTGGCTCTCATTCCATAGCCACTGTCTTGGGCTGCTTTGTTGTCATTGTTTCACTTCCCCTCTATCCCAGCCTGGGCCAACTTCAGCTCTCCCTCCAGTTGTTTTGGAATTCAACTCCCACAATCCTGTTAGGAATTGTGGGAATTCAAGTCAAAAACATCTGGATGAGGGCTGAAATTGGCCCACGAGAGAAGGGAATTTGAGTTGCCTGGCGAGTCTACAATCATCAAATGCCCTTGGATGTCTCCATGGACATTAGAGTGGAATGGTAGCGAGTAGAGTGTAACTGGCTGTTGAGCAGGAAAAGTAACTCCAAGCACATCCAGTGTGTGGCCACACATTTGATGTCATCTGTAATTCAACCCTATGCATTTAATCTTTGGCTGGGCATCATTGGCCTACGTAGCAGCACAGTGTGACTGTTGCCTCTCCATGTTTGCAGGTTTGACCTTCATAGATTTGATAGTCTGCGGACAATTTCCAGGTCTTCCCATGCAACTCTGCAGTCAACGCCTGTCAGAGGCTGATCATGGAGTCATGCTGGAAAGCCTAGAGATTGTTGAATCTCTAGAACGTTTAGTGCATATCTATAGCCAAGGTGTTCTCTCACTTAAAAGTAGCATTTTTTCCACAATATTTCCACTTTCGTGCAAGCCCTGCACCCCTAAACCTAGTCAATGTGGAGAGCTGTAATCTTACTAGTTAATCAAGCCTTGCCTAACTCAAGTGAGGGCTTCAAGTACCCATTAATATTTTCATATCCTATTTTTCTCTCTCCAAGTAGCAGCATAAGAACACAACACCATCATTGTGACCCAAGCATAAGATGGGGACAGAGCAGTCTGTTTTCTATTCCCCAAAGGTCCAAGAGATTGAGAGGAGAAGGGATATGAGGAGGGCAGTATGTCAAGAACCCCAAATATAGGACCAGTCTTTGTTTTGTCTCTCCCTCCATAGAACTGGGCAGGAATGCGATGTCCCTATAAGCTGCTCCGCATGGTGCTGGCCCTGGTGTGCAGTGAGTATCTCCCTTCATTCCTTTGTCTTTTTTCCTTTCAGAGGAACCTTTTCTTGGCTGTGTTCGCTTCCCATGTGGTCCTCCTCCTAAGAGGTCATCGCTGAACCTGTGTGGCTTCTGCAAAATGTTGTCTGAGATCCTGTATTTTGGAGTGGAACTATGGTTGCTTTCTCATACCATTCAGGACTCACAATTTAGCTGCTATGACTTTGCAGTGGGTGGTGGAGAGCAGAGCTGAAGGATAGTAGAAATCTGGTAATGCTACCAGAAGTCCTGAGACTTCCCAGGAGATAACATCACTGTTTTGCATCTGGGTACGGCACCAGAGTCGGACACTTTTCTGCTCGGCACCAGCCATTAAATGGCTGAGTTTGGTCTGTAGCAATTGCATGGTGGATCCCAGGAGGGTGGAAAGTCATTTGGAGGATGAGACAACACACACCGGCTTAAATTGGACTTGCCTTTATGTGTGTCAGTAACAGGAAACCAGCCATAGTTACAACTCCTCAGAGTTTATTGCACAGGCTCCATTCAAGGATTTTTAAAAAGTGGGTGGGCTGGATGTGACACTGGGAATGCCCGCAGAAAAGGGAAGGGACGGAAGCTTGTTGAACAAATATTTCCCAGATTATTAGAAGACTGATGCTCAGTAGAGCCCAGGCGTGCCTGTGGGAGCACATTAGTATGAAATAATGGAATACAAATAGTGAGCTTCCTGTATATCCCATCTTTCTCTCTATCTCTCCCTCTCCTGATTGCAGTGAGCTCTGAGGTGGGCCGAGCCGTGTGGTTGCGCTTCTCACCCCCGCTGCCCTCCTCGGGGCCCCAGCCGAGCTTCATGGCTCACCTGGCTGGGGCCATCGTGGGCATCAGCATGGGCCTGACCATCCTACGCAGCTACGAAGAGAACCTTCAGGACCAGTGTGGCTGGTGGGTGGTCCTCCTCTCCTATGCCACCTTCCTGGTCTTTGCCATCTTCTGGAACATCTTCGCTTACGACCTCCTAGGGGCGCAGGTCCCACCGCCCCCTTAGCACCGTGCCCAGCCCCAGTTCCTTCTGCAACACTTACTCGCCCTGGAAGTGCCAAAATTGCAGACATTGCTGGGGAGGGAGAGGAGAGGGGAGGGGAGGGCGGGCGGGCCTGGCTCGGCTGGCGCACACAAGCGCTGGGGCCCAGAGCGCATGCCGCGGGTCGCCTCTCTGGAATGACGTTTCTGCCGGACGGCAGAATATCTGCAGGATGCCAAAAAACAATCTAAAAAGAACCTGTGCTTGGCTCCTGCGGGGAAGCCAGACAGTCGCATGGACAGGCAGCAGCCTAGGAATGAACCAGTGAGCCCCTCCTTCCCTAAAACTCTTTGTATGCCAAACCTCACCTGCTGAACAGGTGCTGCTCAGTTCCTCAAGGCCAACCATTTCCTTTAGCAAGGGTGTGCTCACCTATTCCCACTTTGGCATGAGGACTTCTGTTCTGGGGAGCGGGCCAATAGCGTGACATTCTCCTTTAGCTTTTGTGGACTTCAGATCCACAAATGGCATCTCACCTAACCTCTGCCCCACCCAGAACTGCTTAGCAGCCTGCAGATTGAAATTTCATAGAATCCTAAAGTTGGACAGATTTGGCAGAAGCCTTCAGATCATTCCTTGTTCTCTTGAGTGGCCCATTGTTGCCATTCCCCTTGCGGTTCTTATCAGGCCCTTGCTTCTCAGCTTCTGTTTGGTGTCTGTGGGCTTCTAGTGGCAGCTAACCTTCCCTTCCATGTGTTTCAAAAGAGGTCGTAGTCTATAGTGGGTAGGATGGGAAAAGTCATACTTTTCAAGTGGGAAGTTCTTCTCCCTGGGAACTGCTTTGGGTTCCTAGTCTATAAGGATGGGACCATGTGTTGTTCCATGGCTCAGTCGCAGGGTGCCAGCTTTGCACGCACAAGATCCTGGGTTTGAACCACAGCACCTGGGGCTGCAAAAGAGTCCCATCTGCAACCATTGGAGAGTCACTGCCAGTCACTGTAGAGTCCAATACCATGCTGTCTGGACCAACGGTGCCATTTGGTCCCAAAGCACTTTCCGGTATCCGTTGATGTGTTCCAGATGCTCTAGCCTTAACGCAGAATCCCAGATGAACCTTGCGTCTCAGGATCTCTGCAACATCAAATGGAGCTGAGAGGGTTACACCCCATGCCTCCCTTCCGCCGCCTTTCCTATCCTTCCTTTTATAGGTCTCACCAAGGTGTGTAGCAGAAGCTCTTTCTTTGGTCTTGATGGAATAGCGACTGAACAATCAATCCTGTGTGGGACTAAATGCTGGGCCTTCGGAAATGGTTTCTAGAGCAGGGGTTTGGTCGAAGTCAGGGATGGCCAGCTTCTGGAATCTCAGGTGGGTGGGAGAGTTTGCATGGGGTGAACATGGTCCTCCATGTTTTGTTCAGGGTCGAGGGTGGGGAAGGGTGGAAAACTCCTTGGCCAGCCAAGCTGGTTGAAACACGACAGGTTCTGAAGCTCTATAATCATACATGCACTTTGGAGTTCAGGAGTAGTGTAGCGGAGGGATTTATTACAAAAGGGAGAGAGAGGGAGATCGTGTTTGGGACTTTGTATGCCAAAGAGGACCACTGGAACACATCCTTTGCCTAGATGAACTCCAGACTTTTCCATGAGAAGGATTGTCTCACTAGGGTATGGGGCCAATCAAGGACAGATGACAGCAAAACCGTGCCAGTCCAAGTGTTGCTTCTGCTACAAGACAGGAGCCCCAAGGCAAAGTAGGAGGCATTCCATGTGCAGGATTGGCATGTCTTTCTCCATTACACTATGGCAGAGAAGTTGCTTTAAATGGCAAAAGACTGGGATCCGGTCGTCAGTACCTCCAGGGTCCCATTCACCCTGCAGAAGGGTAGCATTGTTAGTCCATTTAAACTGTCATAGTTCCATTGTATAGAATCCTGGAACTGGCAGTTTTGCTGTAGCCCTGTGCCCTCAAGGACTATCTAGCTTACGGTGATCCTAAGATGAACTTGCATAGGGGTTTTCTGGGCTGAGAGTGTGTGACCTACTCAGGGCCATTCAGTGGGAGTTAAAACCCAAGTTTATGGAGGAGCGTTTATCCTCTGACCAACTACAGACCCCCAAATGGAAACAGGGCTGTTGAAGTGGAGGCATGGTGCCATCATTCTACAGTGTGAATGGGAAGGAGAAGGTGATTCTACCTTAAACCCTGGAGAGCCATGTCAATACTGCCAGTGGGGGAAGAGAACGTGGGTTGGAAGCGGGGAGAAAAGCAGAAAGACTATCATGACTATTGCTCATTTGTCTAATGGAAGGCTTGGCCCTAACCTTAGGCCATAGCCAATCAAGATGATTGGGTTCAAACATTGAGAGTCACTGTGGACACATACTTGAGTCCACCTGCCCTCCTCACTAAGGCTTGGGAGGGTTCCTGGGCAGAGTTGGCACGTTTGCTTCCCTTCAGAATAAGTCCCAGAATTTGCTAGCCAGGATAAAACATGGGCAGAAGTTGCCATGCTTGGATATTTTGGGAGGATCTGGAAACATACTTGGTGCAAATTGCCTGCCGCTGATTCACAGTTCCTTTCCGGGACTACAGTTCCCAGAAACCTGTCACCGGCCTTACCTGGCCATGCTGCCTGCAGGACTCTGAGAGTTGTAATCCCAGGAAGGTACGTTGCTGAACTCTGTTCTTTAGTGTCATGGTTTCAGACAAACGTGTGTGCTTCTACCCCATTACAAAGGAAAAGGAGCATGGAAGTGTGTGTGTTTCAATGCATCATGTGCCGTGAGACCAAGGAGGATGCGGTTCAGCAGCGGCTCTCTGGTGACATGGCCTGACAGTCGCCTGCAGGTCTTGCCATAGCAGGCTGTTGGGGAAAAGAAAATCATGTTTTTAGAAGGAGAGATGAGGCATAGGACTACTGACAAATGGTGCAGGCTTGAACACTGAGTGGAGGAAACTGGGAGGGCAGGGAGGCAGAACTTCCTGAAAGTAAATGCACTACCCAAATCTGCAATGTGAGGGGGGAAGGGAAAGAAATACAAATAAATATTTTGCACACCTGCTGCTCTGCTCTGTTGATTCTGTAGCTTCAAACCTAGCCCAGGCGGCAGGATGCTCATCTGTCAGAGGTGGAAAGGAAGCCTAGTTCCAGAAATCATGCAGTTGCCTTCTCCAACTCAAGATCTTGGAACCACCAGTTTAGACTCTGTATAAGAACCCCCGGTGGCGCAGTGGGTTAAACCCTTGTGCCGGCAGGACTGAAGACTGACAGGCCACGGGTTCAAATCTGGGGAGAGCACGGATGAGCTCCCTTCTGTCAGCTCCGGCTCTCCATGCAGGGACATGAGGGAAGCCTCCCACAAGGATGGTAAGCTGTCAAAAACATCCTGACATCCCCTGGGCAACGTCCTTGCAGACGGCCAATTCTCTCACACCAGAAGCGACTTGGAGTTTCTCAAGTCACTCCTGACATGGAAAAAAAAAGACTCTGTATGTCTTTCCTGTCCTCTTCTGAATTTAGAAGTAACTAGTTACACTTGACTGTAATTTGGCATTAATCAGTACAGGGCAAGGGATTTATAATTAATACATTTCCCCAGGAACACGATCTTGCCCTTCCTCTCTCTCCCCTTTACTTCAGTGAATTCCACTTGGAACAACTGAAGGAAGCTGAACACAAATGAAGAGAAGAAATCCCATTTTTCCGTGCCACTCTGGAGAATCCAAGCTGGGCCTGGGTGCAAAAAAGGAATGTGATTCCCACCTCAGGTTTACAGAAGGTGCATTCCTTCCTTCTGGCTGTTCTAACTTTCTGCCATCCCACTTTTTAGCTGCTTTTAAAATGTCCCGGTTTATTTCCTGCCATTGGGTAAGACACTAGTGCTACATGGCAGAGAAAGCGGAAGACCCTGCAAAACTACAAATCCGAGGATTCCATTGCATTGAGCCGTGGCCTTAAAAGTGGTGTCAAATCGCATTCATTCCACAGTTAGGAGCTTCTCTCTATTCGTGGCCTCCTTTCCAGGCATTTCTGTGGCTGGCCTCTTAGAGCAGGCTGGCTAATTCTAGGTCTGCTGCAGCTAATTGAATTAGATTCCTGTTTATTCCAACTGCCAGAAGGCAAATGTGACACAATCCCACTCGGGGAGGGAGACCTCCACTCAATAGGATGATTTCGCACGTTGGCTTTTCTTTTTAAAGTCGGTAGACACGTCTCTTTCACACACATGCATATGCACGCACGCACAGAGAGGGTTACTAATGGCTTAAGGTCAGTTCTCTGTTATTTAATTCCTCTCTTCCTTCCAAATGTCATCATGTTGAAAGGGGGCTTTGCATCTGAATATAAATAGCTCAGATCTTTGGTCAGGTTAGAAAACTGATGGATGAAGCAGTGCAAAGATGGCTATCCTCCAAAAACAACTGAGTGAATAGCAAAAGGGAAAGAATGGGAAGACAGACAATGAATAACAATTAATTCCTCTGCTATCGGAGAGCTGCAAAGTTGGGGTGAGGCAACATACTCCATACATCCCTGGCGAGCAAAAGGCTGGGAGATTAGGCTAGTTGTAATCTAAGCTGGCATCTTTCCTGTAACATGGATGTAGTTTAAATGGAACAGCTCTCCATCGCTCAATGCAGCTACAGATTCTTAAGATGAGTTCGAAAGAGAGGTTGCGATTATGGTGGTGATAGGGCCATAATTGTGAGCATGAATTCAGGAACACCAGCCAGTTATGGAAGCATACGTCTAGCTTGCACACTTGTAACTGCTTCCACTGAAGGCAGGCTTCCATTCATATTGCTACTAGCTTCTTCATGGTCCCTGTGAAATGCGCACATATGTGCGAGAAGACTCAGATGTGTGAATTTCACAGATGACCACTTGAAGAAACACTATAGGAAAGCAACCCATTCATTCTTTATGTCCATAGCAGTGGGCTCATGGCATTTTGGACCCACAAGATTTAACAAGTGACCCCAAATCTACTCACTCAAATCATCATCATAATCATCATCATTTAATTACTTATTAATCGCCCTCCATCCAAGATGCTCTAGGTGATTTACAAGCTAAAATTGTAAAGGATAAAAATACATACATACAGATATTGATAAAATTAACAAAGATCAAAAGCTCTAGTAAAAAGCCAGGTCTTAAGTGCTAGGGTAAAAGGCCCTAACTCACGAATGGCTCTCATATGGGGCGGCAAGGAATTCCACAAGGCAGGGGCAGAAATAGAGAAAGCCCTGCGTCTGGTCCTTTCCAGGTGCACTTCTCTAGGACCCGGTATATAAAGTAAGTCACGTTGGGATGGTCATTGCGACCTCCGATGATGGGAGAATGAGAGAAGGTCCCTAAGATACGATGGACCCTGGCCGTAAAGAATTTTAAAGGTCAGAACTATTTATTTATTTATTTATTTATTTATTTGCTTTATTTCTATACTGCATTTTTCAGCCTAATTAGGCGACTCAATGCGGTTTACACAATGCAGGTTATCACAACAATAAACAGTTAAAAACACATCATACACAACAACAAAATCAACAATTATTATCAATTCATGACGCCTCGATAACAGAGCAAAATCCATTCTCATAATCCTTGTGCCATTCCTATGTTCAATTTTACCGTCTTCCTGTGTTCAGTTGCGCTGTTTAGCCAAACGCTTGCTCATAGAGCCAAGTCTTAACTAGCATCTTATATAGACCACGGTAATCAGTTGGAAGCCAATGCAAATGCCGCAACACTGGTGTTATATGGCATTTCATGGGTGTTCTTGTGAGTAGCCTGGCTGCTGTATTCTGAACAATACGGAGCTTTCGGGTCGTGGACATCAGAAGGCCAACATACAGGGCGTTGCAATAGTCCAGCCTAGATGTGACCGTGGCATGGATTACTGTTGCCAGAGCCTCAGCAGATAGGTAGGGTGCCAATTGCCTCGCTTGTCGTAGATGGAAAAAGGCCTGTTTGCTGGCAGCAGCGACCTGAGCTTCCATTGTCAGCTGCGAATCCAAAACGACACCCAAGCTCTTAACGGTAGGTGAAGGAGATAGGGCAGCACCATCGAAGGTGGGTAGCAAATGGGTCAGACCAATCGAGCGGCCATGCCAGAGAATCTCAGTCTTCGCCGGGTTCACCTTCAGTCTACTAGCACGTAGCCAGTTCGACAGAGCCTCCAGACATAAGGTGAAATTGTCTGGTATTGACGTTGCTCCAGGCTCCAAATGCAGAAGGAGTTGGGTGTCATAGAATCATAGAATCAAAGAGTTGGAAGAGACCTCATGGGCCATCCAGTCCAACCCCCTGCCAAGAAGCAGGAATATTGCATTCAAATCACCCCTGACAGATGGCCATCCAGCCTCTGTTTAAAAGCTTCCAAAGAAGGAGCCTCCACCACACTCCGGGGCAGAGAGTTCCACTGCTGAACGGCTCTCACAGTCAGGAAGTTCTTCCTCATGTTCAGATGGAATCTCCTCTCTTGTAGTTTGAAGCCATTGTTCCGCGTCCTAGTCTCCAGGGAACCAGAAAACAAGCTTGCTCCCTCCTCCCTGTGGCTTCCTCTCACATATTTATACATGGCTATCATATCTCCTCTCAGCCTTCTCTTCTTCAGGCTAAACATGCCCAGCTCTTTAATCCGCTCCTCATAGGGCTTGTTCTCCAGACCCTTGATCATTTTAGTCGCCCTCCTCTGGACACATTCCAGCTTGTCAATATCTCTCTTGAATTGTGGTGCCCAGAATTGGACACAATATTCCACGTGTGGTCTAACCAAAGCAGAATAGAGGGGTAGCATTACTTCCCTAGATCTAGACACTATGCTCCTATTGATGCAGGCCAAAATCCCATTGGCTTTTTTTGCCGCCACATCACATTGTTGGCTCATGTTTAACTTGTTGTCCACGAGGACTCCAAGATCTTTTTCACACGTACTGCTCTCGAGCCAGGCATCCCCCATTCTGTATCTTTGCATTTCGTTTTTCTGCCAAAGTGGAGTATCTTGCATTTGTCACTGTTGAACTTCATTTTGTTAGTTTTGGCCCATCTCTCTAATCTGTCAAGATCGTTTTGAATCCTGCTCCTGTCCTCTGGAGTTTTGGCTATCCCTCCCAATTTGGTGTCGTCCGCAAACTTGATGATCATGCCTTCTAGCCCTTCATCTAAGTCATTAATAAAGATGTTGAACAGGACCGGGCCCAGGACGGAACCCTGCGGCACTCCGCTCGTCACTTCTTTCCAAGATGAAGAGGAAGCATTAGTGAGCACCCTCTGGGTTCGTCCATTTAACCAATTACAGATCCACCTCACCGTAGTTTTGCCTAGCCCACATTGGACTAGTTTCCTTGCCAGAAGGTCCTGGGGGACCTTGTCGAAGGCCTTACTGAAATCCAGGTACGCTACATCCACGGCATTCCCCGCATCTACCCAGCTTGTAACTCTATCGAAAAAAGAGATCAGATTAGTCTGGCATGACTTGTTTTTGATAAATCCATGTTGACTATTAGCGATGACCGCATTTGTTTCTAAGTGTTTGCAGACCAGTTCCTTAACAATATTTTCCAGAATCTTGCCTGGTATCGACATGAGGCTGGCTGGACGGTAGTTGTTTGGGTCATCCTTTTTTCCCTTCTTGAAGATTGGGACCACATTGGCCCTCCTCCAATCTGCTGGAACTTCTCCTGTTCTCCAAGAACTCTCAAAGATGGTTGCCAATGGTTCCGAAATGACTTCTGCTAGTTCCTTCAATACTCTTGTCATCCGCATATTGATAGCAGTCTAGGCCGAAACTCCGAACCAAACTAGCAAGGGGTCTAACATAGATGTTGAAGAGGGGAGAGAATTGCACTTTGGGGTACCCCACATAGGAGGGGAGATCTTTCAGAGACTTGATCCATATACTCCACACATTGGCTCTGGTTTCGGAGAAATTAGTCGAAGCAATTCAGGGCCTGGCCGCGAACTCTGGACATGGCAAGACGGTGAATCATTAGATCGTAGTCAACGGTGTCAAACGCTGCGGTAAGGTCGAGAAGTACAAGTAGCGCTGATCTGC